CTTATATTTTGTATGGTTTGTGCAAGCTGATTCTTTTATCAGTTGCTAGAGAACATCATAGCTATGTATCACACAAGCAAAGTGCATTATGAACACAAAAGGGCATATCAGATATATTCACAGTCAACTTTGTTGTGAGACAGGAATGTTTGATGTCTTCACTTTTTTTAAATTAAAAATTTAATTAGAATATCTAGAGAAACAAGTTCTTTTACAGACAACATAGATCGTTATAATCATAATGAAAAACACACTAGACGAAGTAATCAGCTCCCCCACATTAAACTAACTACTATTTGCTGACGACCAGTGCTTGTACTACAGCAAAGAAGATCCATTGCAAGATCACAAACAGTACCAGGTTAAGCTCAGCATGCAGTAAATACAAAATAAAGAATGCTGGAACAAAACTAGTACAAGGCACATCAGTAGAACCCCTGGTCCACTATGCATTCAGCTGAATGGTTTTAGCCTGAAAGAAGGGAGATAATTTAACTATCTTGGAAGTGTGATCATGGAACATGGCAGAATTGACAGAGAAATAGAAATTGCAATGTCAGAAAGCAAGTACACAATTATATACCAATTGTCACCATTATTAAGACATCCAAACATTGCTATGAGTGCAAAGAAACAGATTATAAATGGCATAAAGCTAGCAGTGCTAGACATGCCATTATGTACAGTCCATGTACGCAAAATCACTACTAATGAGATGACCGAGATATGCAAGCCAACCTTACCATCTGAGATCGAGTGAATAATGATACTATCAGATAGATTGTGGAAACAGCACCTTGTACTAGATTCATTTAGAAACAGCAGATCAAGTGGTTTGGCCATCTCATTAGAATGCAGCAGCAGCAGAAACCATCACAAGAACTGCATCTCAGAAGATTAGCTTCAGGGTCTAGAGGACGCCCCCAGAATATGGATCAACAGCATTAAAGATAGTGTACGTCTTCATGGCATGACAGTAGCCAGTGCCAGCCAGCGTGCACTGGATTGACAATTATTTCTTCTCACGACACTTATTGACAGAAGTGATTTATGCTGATGATGATCTTGAAAGATGGGTTCCTTGAAGTCTCACAACTAACCACTGATTGCAAAGGGAAGCAATTTCTCCTGAATTGTTGGAACATTTTAATGCTGTTGGAGAGGAGAGAACTTCCTGGCTAAGATTGTTACAGGTGACGAAACCTGGGCACATTACTTTTAATCTAAAGAAAAAAAAAACTAGTATATGGAATGACATCATACATCATCCGCACACATCACGGAGCAGCAGGTATGTGACCTAGACGTGACCAGTCACGGAAAAGAATGGACGAATACACCAGTAGACACGCATGGCGTCTCTAAGGTTGTCATCACACTCTGAAAGTACTGCTGGGATCAAATTCCTGCGGCCGAGGATGCAGAAGTAAGGGAACTAGTAGATCAGCATTGAGACCCAGAAGATATCATCATCTACACAGATGCATCGGTGAAGCATGGATCAAGGTCAGCATGCGCATACACAGCACAGAGAAGGGGGGAAACGATACAGGAAGCAGCGGCGCTTACCAGACAACCACGTCAAGCATGACCATGGAAATAGCCGCTGCTTCTAGAGCTTTAGCATGGGTATCCGAGCAAACCACCACACAAGCAGTTATTGTATCAGACTCCATGAATATGCTTCAGAAGATAGCAACAGGCAGTATGCGCTCTGAATGGGTAGAAAGCATTCAAAAATCGAACTTAACCTCCATAACCTGGATCCACACACCGGGTCATACGGGCGTAAAGGGAAATGAGCGAGCTGACCAACTGGCAAGCACTGCACTAAGGATTGTGGGGAAAAGTATGGACAGAGCAGTTATCATCAACACTGTACGAACTGACACTGGCACGATTGCATGACATGGGAGTAAAGCATGGTGAAGCACGTCTTTGCCGTCTTCTAGGCTGAGATAGGAGACAATATAACCAGCTTCTCATGGGAACAATTAGTAGAAGTACTTTGGAGTGGCTGCTGCATGGGAGGATTGAGCACGCATGGGAATGTGATTGTGATAACAGAAAATAATATAACATCTTGTAGGGAGTCGGCAGTCCGAAACCCAAGTTCAAGGTGTCTCCTTCGTGCCAAAGAACTGCATGGCTGTTGGGTGAACTCGTGCACATAGTATTTATGAGCACATCACTTATAGACAGATCATTCGTGGACATAGTATTTATGAGCACATCACTTATGGACAGATCACTCGTTGACATAGTATTTATGAGCACATCACTTATGGACAGATCACTCGTGGACATAGTATTTATAAGCACATCACTTATGGACAGATTACTCGTGGACATAGTATTTATGAGCACATCACTTATGGACTGATCACTCGTGGACATAGTATTTATGAGCACATCACTTATGGACTGATCACTCGTGGACATAGTATTTATAAGCACATCACTTATGGACAGATTACTCGTGGACATAGTATTTATGAGCACATCACTTATGGACAGATCACTCGTGGACATAGTATTTATGAGCACATCACTTATAGACAGATCACTCGTGGACATAGTATTTATGAGCACATCACTTATAGACAGATCACTCGTGGACATAGTATTTATGAGCACATCACTTATGGACAGATTACTCGTGGACATAGTATTTATGAGCACATCACTTAGGGACAGATCACTCGTGGACATAGTATTCATGATAACATCAATTATGGACAAAGCACTCATAAACTAATCCTTTTATATCAAAGCACATAGCGCCCACCCCACCACAAACATGCTAAACTGTTCATCGGTTTCCGCCGCTGACACATTCTTCAATTATGTTTTAAATTGAAGTTAAGTCTTCGCACATTTTCCTTTCCCTTTCCATCAAAGTCTACACTGGCAAGTTAATTCAGCCATGTCCTGTCATGTTACTGTCGCCCCAGAAACGATATCGCAAGAATCTGATCATCGATTTAAACATCTCATTTGGTCGCGTCTTGTCCTTAATGCGCCCCGTTTTATTAGAACTTTGCAGTCTGGAGAGGCTATTATTACTAAGATATATATAATTACATGAACTTTGCAAAGCAATATGAGATTGTTTGACACCGTTTCTGTAGATTCTGTAATCGGGTTATTGCCTGTCTATGGCGAAGAATTGATAAAAAATTCCACTGCAGACGGCAGTGGTTTATTTCCCTTGGGCTTTTGCGCGGGTTATTAAAGTGGCAATTTTTACTGGTTTTCTTCAGTGTCCCCTGGGTATTTTTGGGGACGCTGTGACTTTGAAAAATGTGTAGGGAAGTTTAATGGATAAAAACGGCAAGGTGATTTAAACATTGGGTTATGTGTTGTTAAGTTTGACGCTGAGGGAATAATTAGATAGTGGTAAAAATATTTTAAGAATTGCAAACCTACCTAACTACACCCCCCCCCCCCCCACCCTTAGGGGAGGGGCGGGGGCACACACACACACACACACACGCACACACACACGCTCGCTCGCACGCGCTCATCGATGTTGTAAAGCCATTTGGCTCGTGCTGAAAAGATTTTTCATTTGATTTAGTTCCGACATTATTTTCGTGAAGTGCTTAGAAGTGCCAAGTATATTTTTAGAGGTCGTTGCTGGAGCTATTGAGTTTGTGATTTGTGAAACAGTTCGTGGGGAAGAAGACACTCTGCTGGGAGAGACCCAGTAATTTAGGTTAAAACCTGTGGCAATGAAGCCGACATCTAGCTTGAAAAAAAAAAAAACGATAACAACACAAATATGCAAGTTGCTACTCTATTGCCAAAGAACTGCATGGCTGTTGGGTGAACAGTCGTTAACGAGGGCAGGCAGGTCGTTGTAGGGGCGACGCCTGCTGGTGGATGTAATGTCCTAAGTCCCTTCCCCAGCTAATAATGAGGGTACTGCTGGGGTGACCGTTTATTAACCCTCATATAATTCTTCCGGTCAAAATGGACGCTAGGTACGGCCACCTTTTTTTTTTTTTTTTTTTAAAGCCGTGGCAAATATTTTTCCAGACGGTGGCCGTTGCATTTTTGCTCCATTTGTAGACTGGAAGGATGTAGTTTCGTCGCCCAGCTTCTGAGTTGAGTGCATGGCGTGACACTGTGAGCTGCGTTTGTTTTTCGTTGGCACAGGAGCGGAGCATGTGTGGGGTGACCCGTTTGCTATGAAGCTGAAACTAGGAATACCAGATTACCAGATTACCAGTCGTTAACGAAGGCAGTCAGGCCGTTGTAGGGGCGACGCTTGCTGGTAGATGTAATGTCCTCAGTCCCTTCCCCAACAAATAGTGTGCCTCTGTAATATTTATGAGTTTGATTGTACATGAAAGTAGTGTTTCCACATAGATCGTGCCAACACTTGACAACCTTTGTTTAGAGAGACTAGTGTATGTGAGCTTTGCCCTGAGAGTTGTGCTGTTACTTGTGAATTTGTGTGTGAAATTATCCTGTCATTAGAGACCTGGATTTCATATGTCAGACATTCGGCTAACGTCAGAGATTTAGATGTTAATTCACAGGTTATTCAGTTGATTATGTTGAATTCTATTTGTCAGTTTGTCTTTATCTTCTTTATGCAGTTCGGCGTCATAGGCATGGCAAATGATTGGTTTTTCGGGATAGTCCTGGCTGGTTAGCTTGCTGCATGGTGATATTGTTGCGTTTCAATCAAGTTGTTTCATGTTGAATTCATTAGCCATAAACTAGTTATAATATGTCAGTATAGTACAGAGTAGTTATAATGTGTTAATTTTCTATAGCCATTATATTCAGTTTATGATGAAGATGATAGCCATGCCGGGTACTTGGCATCAGTGAATCTTTTGTAAAGTAAGTGTGATAACATCCAGAAGCAGTTGTGAAGGCCAAATTAGCTGTACAGAAATGATCATGCCTTGACTGTAGTTAATGTGGGGCAAGCTGTGTGTCTATGATCAGTGATTTGATGCCTCCACAGTTGGCCCAGTACCAAAATGTCAAATGCAAGCAGTTTCCGAGAGCAGGGTAACGGGCACTTCAAACAGGGCAAGTATGATGATGCTCTGTGTTGCTATAATCAGGCTCTGGAAGCCAGCACTTTAAAAGACTCTGATAAGGCTGTCATCTACAAAAACAAGGCAGCATGTTACCTGAAACTTGGGCAGTATCAAATGGCTGTTGAAGATGCCACTCGATGTAAGTTGTGTTTGTTGTTGTATTTATGTCACAAAGGCTAAAATTGTGTGTTTGTTGCTGTGTTTGTGTCACACAGGTTAGAGTTGTGTATTTGTTGTTGTGTTCGTGTCACACAGACTAACATATTGTATTTGTTGTTGGGTTCATGTCACACAGACTAGTGTTTTGTGTTCTACTCGGTTAGAAACCTCAGTTGTCCATATTGTGCACATGATGTCATCTATTCTTTTATTGTTAGTGAAATCCTGTTTAACCTTTCTGAGTTGTCAGTAGGATATATTGGACCTGTGGTCCAGAATGGTGGATAGATGAATTGACTTTTGACATCGCAGTGTTTAGTTTGCTTCTGGTCATGTTTTCTGTCACATGTTCCCCCATATCTGGCCTAAAAGTATTTAAAGTCACCCAGCTACTGAGTATGGAGTGCATGATGTGACACTGTGAGCTATGGATTTCACATGGAATGCTTTCCAACTGTGCCAAAGATGTTTTAGGTTAAAGAACTGCAGATTAAAAAAAGATGGTGGGTGGCCTGTTGCCACAGAACTTTCAGTGCCTTAATCAGTATTCTGTGCATAACTTGATTTCTTGCAACTACTGCTTTCTTTGACAGTAAACTGCAGTTCTAGTCGGCTGTCTGTCTTTTCTTCTGCCTTTCTATCCCCCAATGGAGCATAGGCCCTCAACCAACTCACGCCAAGTCGTTCTATCCTCCGCCATTGCATGGAGCTCTCCCCATGTCCTCCCCATTCAACTTCATTCTCCAGCTCTCTTCTCCATGTGTTTTTTGGCCTTCCTTTATTCCTATGCCCCTGTGGGTTCCAATGCAAAGACATTCTAGTTATGCTGTTCTCCTGTTTCCTCAGTGTGTATCCTATCCAACGCCAGCATCTGTCTATGCTAGCACTACAAATGGCTGCATTATGCACCTAATATGTGTCTATGCTGTGATTTTTGCTGGGACTGCTGTCTGTTTCAGTTTTTCACAAGGGGAAGTGAAAGCCATTCTGTGTAGTTTTTTTGGCTGGCATAGGAACAGAGCAATTATGGAGTGACCTGTCTAATGTAAAGTTAGAACCATGACGTTTTCTGTCATATCACAGTTAACTTTTTCACCGCTGAACACTCAGACCTATATCAGTGTCTTCATGTGCTCACAGTTGTCTTTTTCAACATCCACACCCCTGAACAACTGCCTGTGTCAGTAGTATATTGAAGTCCTTACAATAGTCTGTTTAAACATCCACACCACTGAACAGCTGCCTTTTCTTCAAGTCCTCATAATTGTCTGTTTCTGCACTACTGAACAACTGCCTGTGTCAGTATATTGAAGTCCTCACAATTGTCTGTTTAAACATCCACACCACTGAACGAACAGCTGCCTGTATCCTCATAATTGTCTGTTTCTGCACTCCTGAAAAACTGCCTGTGTCCTCAAGTCCTCATAGATAGCTGTTTCTCAGACAGACAGTTGTGAGGACTTGAAGACACAGACTGTTGTTTAGTGGTGTGAATTTAAAACTTTCAACATCCACACCGTTGAACGACTGCCTGTATCAGTGTCTTCAAGTCCATGAGATATTTTGTACTCTGCAGCTCTGGACTTAGTACCAAATGATCCAAAAGCACTATTCAGAAGATGTCAAGCTTATGAACATCTAGGAAAAGTCGAAGATGCCTACAAAGATGCAGTACAGTTGATAAAAGTAGACCCTCAGAATACAGCAGTCAGCCCAATGTTTCATCGCCTGAACACAGCCATACAGTCAAAGGTAGGCATGAATACAACAGGTTTGTCAATATTTAACAATCTTAACCCAGCTATACACATGTAAGCATTATTACAACAGGTTTGTCAACATTTAACCATCTTAGCCCAGCCATACGGGCACAAGTAAACATAATACAGAGTCAGATCAGTATTTTAGCAACATAATATCTATTTGAACAGACAAGCGTAATAATTGCATGTGTTACCAATGTCAGAATGGGTGAACACATTAACGTTCTATGTTTATTGTGTGTGGGAACTAAGGAAGGTTAGCACGGGACTGACTACCCTTTCCAGTAGAAGAGATGCTAGCAGTAGAACCTAACTAGCCATCATCCACTCTCAAGAAAAGGACAGGAAATATTAGCTGTAGAATCTTACTAGCCGTCATCTATTCTCAAGAAAAGGACAGGAAATATTAACTGTAGGATCTCACCAGTTATCATCTATTCTCAAGAAAAGGACAGGAAATATTAGTTGTAGAATCTTACCAGCCGTCTATTCTCAAGAAAAGGACAGAAAATATTAGCTGTAGAATCTCATCAGCCCTCATCTATTCTCAAGAAAAGGACAGAGAATAATAGCTGTAGGATTTCTCCAGCCATTATCTATTCTCAAGAAAATTACAGGAAATATTAGCTTTAGAATCTCATCAGCCCTCATCTTTTCACAAGATAAGAAATGAAATATTAGCTGTAGGATCTCACCAGCCGTCATCTATTCTCAAGAAAAGGACATGAAATATAAGCTATGGAATTTCAACAGCCCTCATCTATTCTCAAGAAAAGGACAGGAAATATTAGCTGTAGAATCTAACCAGCCGTCATCTATTCTCAAGAAAAAGACATAAAAAAGCTGTAGGATCTCACCAGCCATTACTATCTAACAAACACTGGAACAACCACTGTAGTTCTTCTATCTTTATGGCCCTAAAGTTGATGTTACAGCCCTTTGGATGCCATCAGCATTGTCAAAGAAGCGTCCTTTTAATGGCAACTTTAATTTTGGGAATAGAAAATTGTCACAGGGAGACAAATCTGGGGAATAGGGTGGATGGTTGAGAACACGCATCTGTTTTTGGGCCAAAAATTTCTGTACAGCTACCGCCCTTTGAGCTGGTGCATTGTCATAAAGAAAATTGCAAGGTGTTAAATACAAACCAACAAGCAACTTTTTTTTTGCCCAACCTTCTACTAAATTTTTCAGAATAGTCTCTGTATTAACACCAAATTTATCTTCCATCATCTTCTCTGAATTTTGCAATGACTTCATTACGAACAGAAATTGGGCATCTAGGTCTAGTTGCATTAGTTAACATTTCCACACCAATTTTGAATCGTGAATACCAGCTGAAAATCTGTGCATGAGATAAACAATTATACCTATACAATTGTAGCATCAGTTCAAATGTTGTAATGGTGCTTTTTATAGAGTTTGAAACTGAATTTAATGTGTGTGTGTGTGTGTGTGCTCCATGCTGATTACGTAACAATGCACGTCTGACTAGGTTAACAAATTGGTTGTCTGTGTATCGGGCGGCGATAAAAAGTTGACAGATCATAGACGAAGGTTGCCTCTTTGGATTCCGTGCTTCAATTCATAGATGGCATTTTGTTTTGGCTATAATAAAATAAGTCTCATTACTTAATCGTCGGCGGACCTTTTATACAGTCTGACAGTTGCTGGTGCCATCAAAATTGGAACTCTGCAATTACTGCTTAAGATGGGAACAGAGCGCTTATAATTGTGTCCTCAGAGCTATGATGTCGATTCTTAATTCAGCATTCACTATATGAGTAAGAGACTAAGAATTCCAGAGAAATTTGACTAAAAAAGCTCAACAAAATGGGGAAACAGAATAACGTGCACAATACAACACAACATAACGTTTCGGTTGGGCAGCCTTTTTCAAACATAAGTGAACTATACAAACGTAACAGCCAGGAGAGAAAAGTATGTAGATCTCTAAGGAGTGACGTGAGCAACGTTTAAAAAACTGTGATTTGGAACAAATGAAATAAAATAAACGATGGTTAAAAAATATAGTCACAAAAAAATAATAAACAGTAGCATTGTTAATATATAATATAATACTGGGAAAAAAATAAATACAAATGTTAATGATACGTAAATGATACTGATAAGAAATAGAATAAAGCAATAATATGAAATAAAATAAAAAGAAAAGAAAATAATTAACATTTAAAATGTGCTAAGAGTAGAACTATTTAGATGAAGGTATGTTGGATATTGATACCACCTGGACTAAGAACCCCTAGGCTGTGGATGAGGCCATTTTCCAAAGAATTCTGTGACTAAGTTGAGTTGTTGGTAGTCAATACAGAGCCTGTATTCATCTGAGAAGTTCCTCTGGAAAATCATTGTTGCATTGAAAAGTGACTCTGAGGGTTAAAATCATTCTTTCCTGAGGCAAATAGTTAGTCTAATCTTTTAGGGATTCTGCCTTAGATAAAGGAGTCTAATCTTTTAGGGATTCTGCCTTAGATAAAGGTATCAGCAGGGACACTGTTGAGTTAGATTCATATTTAATAAAAGTCATTGAAATTCTACCAGTTGAGTGCATCCTGAGTTTTCTTTTGATTGTCTGTGATCTCCTCTTCGCATTCACCTTCTGTAAACTCAGATGGAAAGTTTTGGTTATTTGTCTTAGCAAGTTTATGTTTCTGACAATAGTTAGCTTTTTCATTTTCCTCCATATGAAGACTGAAAGGATAGGGTTCCATTTCCCAGCTACTGAGTTCAATGCTGTCACAGACCTCTGGGTGACCTTGCTGGTCCGTGGCTCATAACTGGGCCTATGACAGACAAGCTAACCTTTAACACACACTGAACCCGAATGCACACAGAGCACACACGACAATCTTTATTGCAAGTACAGGTAATACAATAGACAGTTGACTTCCCGCTGTGTGGCCACCTATTGCTTGGACCCTCTGGCCAAACAAGCTTTACAATCGCCTCGCTCCCCAGTACGTTCCACAGGCAATCTCCTGGTGCACAAACCACACTTGCACAAGATACGCTCTTACCTATCGACACACTGACCAACCAAACTGTCACAGCCTCTGTTTAGTGCAGAGTCAGAGTGCCAAGGCTAGACATTCTCTCACAGAACATGCACCTAAACGATTTAACTGGTCAGAAGGAACTGGAACCTGTTTACCTCTTACGGCACAACACAATACCTTGTACCAGTAAATACACAGCACAAAAGACTATCCTATTCTAACAGAACACTGTAAGTAATCTATGCAGTCACTAAACAAATATCCTAACTCTAATATACTATCACTGTCTTGCTAACACGTCTGCTCCGTCTGACTGTTGTCCACCGAATGTCCTGTGTTCCTTTCACCTCGTGTCTCTTGACCCGTTCACCTGCTCAGTCCCCAAAGGGGTAATCGTGTTGCGAACTTGTCTGCAACAGAGTTCACTCTTTCTTGTCGTGGCCAAGCGGTTTCTCCTGAGTGCTAGTTTCACCGTGCAATAACAGAACAGACTTGACCAGTCACGACCCTGACCTTTGTGTCAACCCAGGGGTGTCACCTGAACACGCACACCCTACAGTGTGGTCCATTCCGCCACTGACTGTACTCATAGGGTTGTGACAAATGCATAACATGACACGAGCTGCTGATGTAATTTTGAATGCGTTTCACCTGTGCCCAGTGTGGCTTGTGATGTGAACAACAGATTTAAAAGAAGGTCTGTGGTGTGTTGCCAGACAGCTAGTGGTGCCTTATGCGGTAACTTTTGTGTGCAATTACTGATCTGTTATAATCAATGACAAACAACATTTCTAGTACCGGACTGTTTGTGTTGGCATATCTAATGGCTGCCTTATATTCTTTATGTATGTTTGCTATTAGCTTTGCTGAAAGTGTAGTCTGTGTCAGTTTTGTGTGTGTGCAAGATTTGCATTCTCTGGTTTTCATTGGCACAGGAACGAAGCGACTATAGGGGTGACCCATTTTGCTATGAAGCTGGAACTGCTGTTATGAAAGGCTGCTGTCAGGCATTTGTCCTACCTCTCAAGCATTTCCTGTGTGAGCCCGCAGAGAAGTCATACCAGGGTACCATCACATTTTTCCACAAGGCTGTGGACCTATGGTTGATATAGACTGTTGCAGACATGTCTAGATCTGAAAATTTGAAAACCTTCCTCCATCAACTTACTTTTTAACTGGGTTCCTTTATCAGTTGAAATCAAATGTGAAAATCTAACTCTGGTGAAGACTGGGTGTAATGCCTCTACCATATTCTTTGAATCAATGGCTTTTAGCGCCACAGCTTCAGTCCACATTGAACAACAATCAGTAAGGGTCACAGGACTTGGACTGACCAGACTCATGGCCACCCTTTCAAATGGTATAGTTTATGGGAGTTTTACCCAAACCTGCTGGTACTGTTCTAGCCTTTAGAGATATCTTCTGGCATTCCTGGCATGGTTTGATATGGCACACTATATCTCTTGTCATCCCAGGCCCAGAAGTAGTGACATGAAATTTGCTGTGTCATTACGCAGATTCCCATATGTGCATTATAAAGACTATAGGCTATAAAATGGCCAATCTCAAGGATGTGTTGCCTGTAGGGCTGAGGCAGCACAAATTGACAAAAGTCTTGGGTTACTCCCATCCAACTTCTGATACCTTGCCTGTAGAAATCAGCCCCTTTGAAGGGGATTATGAGCCTTGGGCAACTTATTGAAACAACCCTGAATGTGTGATTCTGGCTGTGATTTCATCAGACCTGAAAGGGAGCAACAGTTGATTGAAGCAAACAAATGAATCCCTCAATAATGGAAACAAAAAAATTGACTACTTTCAAAAGTGCAAGCCTGTTTTACCACATCAAGTTAAGTTTCAAGACCATGTCTGCATAGATCAGAAGTGTTTTATTGTTTTGGCTTCCTTGTTTGCCATATGGCCTGATTCTAGAAGATAGGGCATGAAGGGTGAGTGGTGATCTTGTTGACAAGTCGCCTGATCTGTGTTTGTTGAATTGTTGTTGTTCACAAATGTGGAGCATTGCCTTCATTATAGTATCATTATTTTTTCCTTCTTCTACACCGTCTAGTTATTTAAAAAAAAATTATCCCTTCTTCCCCACTTATTTATGTTATCTGTCCCCCTCCCCCACCCTTTCCACACAGTTTTGTATTTTCTCCTATCTCACTTTAATATTTATGTATGTGTATGTCTGGCTCTTGACTTATTATTTGTACATATTCTTGTCTATCTTGTCTGTTGTATGATTTAGACTCTTTTTGGCTTCATTATTTTCCTTGCAATTTAGTATCTATAGTATTTTTATGTTTACTGACATAAGTGATGTTTTTAATTATATGCAATCATTTCCTGCGATATGCTAAATCTTTTTTTCTCTCTCCCCCCCCCCCCCCCCCCCCCCCCCCCCCCTCCCCCCCCCCCCCCCTCTCTCCCCCTCTCTGTTCCCTTTCTGACAGATTAAGCAGCAGAACAGCACCTGCAGCAAAGTTTCCCAGATGTTCAACATCAGCTTTGATTCTTCTGTAGACCGCGACAAGAGACTACAGGTTGGTTTTTTTCTTGTTGCATGTGCCTGTACCATAGTAAATAGAGCTGCCTCTAGTCAGTAACTATGTAGCCTGGTGTTGTATCATGCTGTCTGTCCACAACCTTCTGCCCTGTGTAATACCAGTCACATGTGATACAGCTGCCACAACCTTCTGCCCTGTGTACTGCCAGTCACATGTGATACAGCTGCCACAGTATTCTGCCCTGTGTAATACCAGTCACATGTGATACAGCTGCCACAGTCTTCTGCCCTGTGTACTGCCAGTCACATGTGATACAGCTGCCACAACCTTCTGCCCTGTGTACTGCCAGTCACAAGTGAAACAGCTGCCACAGTATTCTGCCCTGTGTAATACCAGTCACATGTGATACAGCTGCCACAGTCTTCTGCCCTGTGTAATACCAGGCACATGTGATACAGCTGCCACAACCTTCTGCCCTGTGTACTGCCAGTCACATGTGATGCAGCTGCCACAACCTTCTGCCCTGTGTACTGCCAGTCACATGTGATACAGCTGCCACAACCTTCTGCCCTGTGTACTGCCAGTCACATGTGATACAGCTGCCACAACCTTCTGCCCTGTGTACTGCCAGTCACATGTGATACAGCTGCCACAACCTTCTGCCCTGTGTACTGCCAGTCACATGTGATACAGCTGCCACAACCCTCTGCCCTGTGTACTGCCAGTCACATGTGATACAGCTGCCACAGTCTTCTGCCCTGTGTACTGCCAGTCACATGTGATACAGCTGCCACAGTATTCTGCCCTGTGTAATACCAGTCACATGTGATACAGCTGCCACAGTCTTCTGCCCTGTGTAATACCAGTCACATGTGATACAGCTGCCACAGTCTTCTGCCCTGTGTAATACCAGGCACATGTGATACAGCTGCCACAACCTTCTGCCCTGTGTACTGCCAGTCACATGTGATGCAGCTGCCACAACCTTCTGCCCTAGCAATACCAGTCGCATGTGATACAGCTGCCACAACCTTCTGCCCTAGCAATACCAGTCACATGTGATACAGCTGCCACAACCTTCTGCCCTAGCAATACCAGTCACATGTGATACAGCTGCCACAACCTTCTGCCCTGTGTACTACCAGTCACATGTGATACAGCTGCCACAACCTTCTGCCCTGTGTAATACCAGTCACATGTGATACAGCTGCAACAACCTTCTGCCCTGTGTACTACTAGTCACATGTGATACAGCTGCCACAACCTTCTGCCCTGTGTACTGCCAGTCACATTTGTTAGCAAATTCAAACCATTGGTTTAATACAACCGATAACTTCAGCCAGTCACTGACTTTCACACCATTTGTTAATACAACTAAAAACTTCATCCAGTCACTAACAACCACACCATTTGTTTAACACAACTGATAACTTCATCCAGTCACAGACATCCACACTATTAATTTAATACAGCTGATAACTTTAGCTAGTCAATGACAACTGCACACCATTAGTTTAATACAACTGAAACCTTCAGCTAGCGACTAACAACCTTACCATTAGTTTAAAACAACTGATAACTTCAGCCAGTCACTGACGGCCACACCATTAGCTTAATACAATTGATAATTTCAGCAGTTTAATACAGCTGATAAACTCAGCCAGTCGACGACAATCACACCGTTAGTTTAATACAACTAATAACTTGAGCCTGTCACTAATGACAACACCATTAGTTTAATACAACTGATAACTTTGTCCAGTCAATGGCAACCATACCATTAGTCAGCCAGTCACTAAAAATCACACCATTAGTTTAATACAACTGATAACTTCATCCAGTCACTGACAACAGCACCATTAGTTTATTACAACTGATAACTTCATCCAGTCACTGGCAACCACACTATTAGTTTGATACAGTTGATATAGTTTGTTCTTCACATAGGGCTTTAGATTGTTTTTTCTCAAAACAGAGCTCATGATTGTTAGTTCACAACACAGGGTTTTAGGTTTGGTTCTCAACACAGGGCTTGAGATTGCTTGTTCTCAACACATGCGTGTTTGTCTGTGTGGGTGTCAGTATGTGTTTGTCTGCCTGTTTGTATTTGTGTGTGTGTGTTTGACTGCGTGTGTGTCTATGTGGCTGTATGTATGTGTCTGTATGTTTGTCTACGTATGTGTGTGTGTGGTGTGTGTGTGAGCACGAATGTAAATATGTGTGTGTGTCTGTGTGTGTGTCTGTATTTTTGTCTAAGTGAGTGTGTGTGTCTCTGTAGGAGTGTCCGTGTGTGCATGTGTGTGTCTCCATGCATGACTGTATTTATGACTGTATGTTTGTATGTGTGTATGCCTGTATTACGTATGTATGTATGTATGCCTGTATGTTTGTATCTATGTATGTATGTTTGTGTGTATGTATGTATGCCTGTGTGTATGCCTGTATGCATGTTTGTTTGTATGTATGTGTGTATGTATGTATGCATGTATGTACGTATGTAATGTTTGCATGCATGTATGTGTGTGTAAGTGAGTGGGTGACCGTGTGTATGTATGTATGCACGCGCGATTTTTTGCATGCACTTTACAACTCATGCTTTTGAGTTCTTTTATAATATTCATAATATGCAAATCATTATATGATCATAACATGCTTTATTAGTAAAATACAACTGCTGTGCGAAAGATGGTTGACTGGAAGGGCCGAATGTAAGACGGGCCTGCGTGCCCAATTTGTTACCCTTTGAAAATAAAGTTTGTTCGTTCGTTCGTTCACATTGCTTGAGATTTTGTTTTTTTCAACACATTGCATTAGATAGCTTGTTCACAACAGAGGGCTTGAGGTTGCTTGTTTTCAACACAATGCTCAAGATTACTTGTTCCCAACACAATGCCTGAGATTGCTTTTTCTCAACACAGGGCTTGAGATTGTTTGTTCTCAACACATTGCTTGGGATTGTTTGTTCTCAACACAGGGCTTAAGATTGTTTGTTCTCAACACAATGCTTAAGATTGTTTATTCTCAACACAGTGCTTGAGATTGTTTGTTCTCAACACAGGGCTTGAGACTGTTTGTTCTCAACACAGTGCTTAAGATTGCTTGTTCTCAACGCAGGGCTTGAGATTGTTCTCAACACAGTGCTTAAGATTGCTTGTTCTCAACGCAGGGCTTGAGATTGTTCTCAACACAGTGCTTAAGATTGCTTGTTCTCAACGCAGGGCTTGAGATTGTTCTCAACACAGTGCTTAAGATTGCTTGTTCTCAACGCAGGGCTTGAGATTACTTGTTTTCAGCACAATTCCTGAGATTGTTTGTTCTCAGCACAGGGCTTGAGATTGTTTGTTCTCGTCACAGGGCTTGAGATTGTTTGTTCTCAGCACAGGGCTTGAGATTGTTTGTTCTCAACACAGGAGGGCTTGAGATTGCTTGTTCTCAGCACAGGGCTTGAGATTGTTTGTTCTCGTCACAGGGCTTGAGATTGTTTGTTCTCAACACAGGAGGGCTTGAGATTGCTTGTTCTCAACACAGGATTATTCTATAACCAATTTTTGAACAACTTGATTGTTCTGTAACCAATATTCTAATAACTTGATTATTCTCTAATTAGTGTTTGAACAACCTGATTGTTCTGTAACTAATATTTTAATAACTTTATTATTCTCTATTTTTGTTTAAACAGCTTGATTGTTCTGTAACCATTATTTTAATAACTTGATTATTCCCTTACCAGGGCTTAAACAACTTGATTGTTTTATCACGGGAAGAATCTGGAGCGGCCATGATCATGAAGGAAGGAGGTTTGACCAAGTTGAAGTCGTTGTTGTCTGAGAGAGACCCACAAGTTGTCAAGGCTGCACTCGCAGTCCTTGCCACTCTATCCAAAGGCAGTCAAGTGCGGGTAAGTTGTTGCTTGTTCCATTTGTCCAGTAATCTGATTGTTGCTGAATGTGCTGGCTGTATTTCTGCAGCTACCAGTTTATTATGTCACTCTTTAATTGGCATTTTAATTGTCTTTGTCAGTTGGACTTTCTGGTCATCGTAATGTTTGTTTGATGTGGCCACAATAGGAGTAATGGCTGACATGCAGAGCATACACCTGCAAAAGGGATCGGATTCATAATCCAGGATGAAGATCTGCTCTGCTATGGACATACATCATCATTGATATAGGACAGGCACTAAAAGCAGATTTGTTTGATGTTGGCTGCCAGACAGTGTGAATAGAATAATGCACTATGAAATCTAGTGAAAATAGAAGAATGCACATTAAGGACAGTGAGAATAGAAGAATGCACATTAGGGACATCTGAGAAAAGAAAAATGCACATTATGGACAAGAAGCCCATCAACAAGGACTGAAGGTGCACATAAAACTGTACTGGACATTCTCAGTTGCCAGATAAAGTAGTGGCATTTATGAACAGTTATTACCTGTCACTACCGGCACAGTAACTGAAATCATCTTTAGCCCAATCTTCCTTGATGTTCAGATCTTTCAAGATGTAAGTATTTCTCCTCTTCTTTGTCCAAGATATTCTGAGAATCTTTCTATAACATTTCAGCTCAAAAGCCCCTATTCTCTTTCTTAAGGACAAGGAAGTTACTAGGAAGTAACTGAAAAATGAACAGTTATTACTGTCACTGCTGGCACAGTTACTAAGATATGAACACTTATTACCTGTCACTGATTGCACAGTATAACTGAAATACGAACAGTTATAACCTGTCACTGCTGGCACAGTAACTGAAATATGAAAAGTAATTATCTGTCACTGGTGGCACAGTATAACTGAAATACAAACTATTATAACCTGTCACTGCTGGCACAGTAACTGAAATATGAACAGTTATTATTGTAGCACTGCTCTCTTCTTTGTGTTTGCTGATGACCCACCCAGGTTTTGTCTTTTGGTTATCTACAGAAGGAGTCAATTGGAAGGGTATGAATTAGGAAAAAGATGGTTGTGTTGTGTTGATAGTGGTGATCATAATGGTCTCTCATTCATGCTTGTCACTGGTGTTTTTTTAATCAAATGTCCTAAAACAGCTATTCTTTTCTATACTGTCTTATTGTGATACTTCGGTAATGCCACAAATAACATGTGATATTCTGAATGGCCACTGTTTTTGCTCTTTAGTTACCTACTCTTGGAGTCATGTTGTGTTCTTCATCTCTAGCTGTGTCGTTAACTGGTTCTAGTGTCTGTAACTGCCTCCTGGCTTCTTGTCCTGTCTGGTACCAACAGTTTTATTGTTGACCACAACATCTTAAAGTATTTCTGTCTAATGTCTCTGTTGACCATGAATCCATGTATCTTGTCTATTATCTCTGTAGTTCGATGTCTCATTCATGTCTCCTCTCCTGTCCTGTGACTGTCTTTGAGGCTCAATGAGACTGGTTCCTCTACTAAGTCTCGACAACTGAAGGTTCTTGTCTGGGAGGATCTATGATACTAGACTCTACTCTTGTAAGCCTTGTAGACTGAAGGTTGAAGATTCTTCCTAACATATGAGGGTCAAAGTTACTAGTCCCTCCTCTTCTAAGTCTCAGCAACTGAAAATTACCCAAGTGGTTTTTTTTACCCACTTTTTATACTGAGTTGCTGGAATGTGTGGTATGTGTTTTTTATTCACTATTTCTTCTAAAAAGTTCTTGTTTGCTAAAACTTGTTTACAATGTATGTTCTCATGTGGGATTTTCCTATTACATCTCTGTTACATCAGATAACTGCACCAAAATAGGTCAGAAATTGGCAGTTGGCCTTTTGGTGTTACGAGTGTCTCTCTTTGATATGATACTATTTCAAATATTACATCAGATACTATTTTTAGATTATTCACTTGCGAATCTCCCTGCATGTGATGGTTCTAGAAAGGGAATGTCAAGATTGCTAAGACCTATTGGTTTTAGTCCCTTCAACTAATAGGCTATATCCTAGCTACTAACAAACAAGTGATGACTTTTCCCTGTTACATTACCTGTCACTGCTGGCACAGTAACTGAAATATAAACAGTTATTATCTGTCACATAACTGATATTATTATAAATTTAGGGAGCATATGGTTGTGTCAGAACTTATTAGTTTGTGCTGTCATTATTTTCTGTTAGGTGTGTGCTGTTAGTTTGTGCTGTCATTACTGTTTGTTAGATTTGTGTCTATTAGTTGGTGCTGTCATTACTGTCTGTTAGTTTGTGCTGTCATTACTGTTTGTTAGATTTGTGTCTATTAGTTGGTGCTGTCATTACTGTCTGTTAGATGTGTGTCTATTAGTTTGTGCTGTCAGTACTGTTTGTTAGATGTTTTCTTATTAGTTCGTGCTGTCATTACTGTCTGTTAGATGTGTTCTTAATAGTTCATGCTGTCATTACTGTCTGTTAGACGTGTTCTTATTAGTTCGTGCTGTCATTACTGTCTGTTAGATATGTGTCTGTTAATTTGTCTGTCACTACTGTCTGTTAGATGTGTGTCTCTTATTTTGCACTGTCGAGAAATAGAAGCTGTACAGATGCAATCTTCACACTTAAACAGTTAATAGAAAAGAACATTAATACAATAAGAACTTATTTGTGGCATTCGTAGACCAGGAGAAGGCATTTGACAGAGTCGACAGACAATTACTATGGAAAATAATGGCAAGATATGGAGTAAGCGAACACCTCATCGAAGTGTGCAAAAGTTTATACAGGGATTGTAGAAGTGTAGTTAAAATAAATCAGGGAACATCTCATCCTTTCACAGTGACATCTGGAGTTAGACAGGGGTGTGTCTTATCACCACTGCTGTTTATCACCTACATCGACAGTATATGCAAGAATGCCAAGCCCATGAATGAAGATCTTAGTAAGATCAACGAATTACTCTTTGCAGATGACCAGGCCTTGATAGCAGATACAGCCATGAAATTGCAACAACATCTAACATCCATGAATGAAGAATGTAAAACAAATAATATGAGAATCAACACTGAAAAGACAGAAGTAATGTCAATAGGAAAAAAGAAGATAGATCTAAACATAGCAAAAGAATACAAAGGCATTAAACAAGCATCTGAGTTTAAATATCTGGGAACTACATTTACTGAAGATGGGAAATTGGATAAAGAAATTGACATTAGATGCAGTAAAGCAAACCAAGTATTGGGACAGCTAGCCCCCCTCTTACAGCATAAGACAATCCCAATCAGCACAAAGAGACATCTTATTCAAAGCATATTTATTCCAACTCTGTGCTACCACTGCCAGACATGGTCACTTACAACAAACCATAAAAGAAAATTAGTAACCACGGAAATGAGATGTCTGAGAAGGGCTGTAGGAGTGACCATAAGAGATAAGATCAGGAATGAGATCATAAGAGAACAAGTCGGCACAGAACCGATTCTGGATTACATACAAAGACAGCAAGTGAAATGGTTTGCCCACTTAGAGAGAATGCCTTGTGACACCATACCATACAAAGCATACATGGAAAGAGAAGAAGGACGTAGAGCACAGGGTAGACCAAGAACAAGATGGAATCATCACAAAGATTTGCATTGCTACATTACTACACACTCGCACGCACGTGTGCATGCACACACACACCGCACATTGAGAGATAGTGTGTGTACGGAATCAGTAATTAGTACTAAAACTCCATGATCTATGAGTTATTAGTTATTTGAGCTTGAATTGTGTATATATTTCATTGGCAATGTTTAAACTTGCCCTGCATGTCATGGCAAATGACCATGTTTTAGTTTGCCTCAGGTGTCATGTCAAATGACCATGTTTTAGTTTGCCTCGGGTGTCATGTCAAAGGACCATGTTTTAGCTTGTCTCAGGTGTCATGTCAAATGACCATGTTGTAGCTTGCCTCTTGTGTCATGTCAAATTAACATGTTTTAGCTTGCCTTGGGTATCATGTCAAATGACCATGTTTTAGCTTGCCCTATGTGTCTTGTCAAATGATAATCTTTTAGCTTGCCTTGTGTGCTGTGACAAGCATGCACGTACGTGCCCACACACACACACACGTGTGAGTGTACTGAATCAGTAATAAGTATTTGTTCAGTCTGCAGCAATTATCACAGAGATTGGCACTGCTACAACTGATGTCCACACACACACACACACACACACACCCCCGCCCCCTTTTTTTACACACACATGTGTGCACACACGCGCACGTACATGCACACACAGGAGTGTACTTAATTAGTAATTAGTATTTATTTAGTCTGCAGCAATTATCACAGAGATTGGCACTGCTACATTGCTACAACTGATGTCCAGAAGTGAGACTGTGGAGATGACAACTTGTGTGGCCCTGGTCATCCAGCATTTGATCACCTATTACACTGGATTGGACAAACATCAGGCCACTTTGAAAAAATATGAAGAGGAAAAAAAAAAGGGAGAAAGATTGCCATACCCTCATCTCAAACTTGGTAGGGCTCTTGTATGTTCACAGTGTTATCTTTATGTATCTTTTGTTGGCATACTGTTTGATTCTATTTTCATATCATTTCATTTTCTTGTCATATCCTTTATCTTATCATATCCTTTAATTCCTGTGTCATATCATTTGATTCTCTTGTTATTAGGGTTGTACAGAATAGTGATTTTTCACTATATGAAAAGCAGGACCAACTATTTGGCCGAATACGAATAGTGTATTGTCATCATCATCAGGTGCCTTGCCGACTGGCGTGGGCGATTACACCTAGCCACAATCTGCGATCTCCTGCAGCATGTATTAGTTCGTGTGCTGACACCCCTCCATGTCACAAGACTGTCAAGCATCTCCTCTCATTGTCTTCCTCTATCCCTCCTTCCACAGATCTTTCCAGTGGTCACCACATGTTCCATTTTCCCTCATCTTATAACATGGCCGGAAAATGATGACTATCTCCTTCTGTCTGTGATTAGTTGTCTTCCGGCTCCCGCCTCTTTCAAAACCTCTTGCCTTTGTTTGTGTGTGTGTGGCTGTCCAAGGTATTTTAAGCATTATTCTGTAAAACCACATTTCTGAGGCCTCAAGAAATTGTTTAGCTTGCCTACCGATTGTCCAGGACTCACAACACATTGCCTTTAAATATAAGTGCTTACTTGACGAGGCTAACAGTTACTATTATACAGACCACATTTTCCAACTTTAAAATTTTAGCCAAAATGTAATCACAACCTTACTTATCCGCTGCACCTTCACGAATACAGATGGAGGATTGGTCGCACCTCGAGTTAAATACAAAGACAATTTTAGCACGCTGCGGTTGGCAATTTATGCAGTATGATACACTTTGAGTGTGAAAAAAAAATGGAGAAAAAAATTTCGACAGTGGAGAGGAAAGACAATTAAAATTTTTACTTTTAAGTATCTTCATGCTTTCTTTAATAATGTCACAATTTATAGCCGACTTTTCTTGATTTTCGCCGCTGCACCCTTTGCATACGCACCCAGTTTGAGAACCTCTACTGTAATGCCTCGGTCGAGTCAACAGGCAAAGACCTTGCCCGCTGCTGTACCGCGCAACATGGTCGCAGTTTCTCCCTGTACGACAGACTTAGGCAACAGCCTAACAGTGTTAATGAGAGAAATATTTCAGTCCATCACAGTGTATGCAGAAACTGGAGTAAGGTAACCACTATTCGAATTAGGCCTGACCGCTAGTATTCGGCCGAATACCAAATAGTTATTAGGTCCACTGTTCAGTCCCGAAGTGAATATTCAGTACAGCCCAACTTGTTATATTGCTTGTTTTTGTGTGTGTGTAAAATCGTGTGATTCACTTGTCGTTTGGTGCTTTCAGTCTCTTGTTTGAATCACTGATAGTCATTTAATGATTTTGTTTGTCTGGCTAGGTTGTTGACACATCATCCTCATCGCTATCCATCCTGTCCATAAGTGTGTGTTTGTGTGCCCCCCCCCCCCCCCCCCCCCTCACATAGTCGCTAATGTCACCAGTTCTACACCGTCCAAAGATGATCCTCACATGTCATAATTATATGCATGTTATCAACTAGAGGTCAAAGTGTTCGGTTTCATGTTTGTGTATTTGTGTTAACTATAAATTAAAAGTGTTCTAATCAAAGACTTGTATACATTATGTGGGTAAGTGGACTTGTCATCACATATAGATAACAGTCTGCTTGTCACAAACTTGTTTACAATATATGTAATGGTTTGTCACAGACTTGTCTACAGTATATGTGAAAGTCTGCTTGTTGCAAACATGTACATGGTGTATGTAAAAGTTTACTTGTCACAAATTGTTTACAGTATATGTAAAAGTTTACTTGTCACAAACTTCTTGAATGTCGAATGTTGAATTAAAATTTGACATCACAGCGCTCTGTCCCCATCTTCAGCAGCAAGCAAAGATTTCCAATCCCCATTGCAACAGTTAATGTCTGATTGTATGTCGAAAGTATTTTGTAGGGTGATAATCCTGAAACCGCAGAGTCTGGAATGATCTTTGCCTGGTTTTTGGAGTGGAATTAGGTAGTAGTGTACCCAATCCTGGGGTTCTGGAATGATCTTTGCCTGGTTTTGGGAGTGGGATTAGGTAGCTGTGTACCCAATCCTGGGGTACTGAATCTGTTCTGATGCTCTTTTTGAAGTAAAAAGCCATCTCTCTCAAGTCTTCATCACTCATGTTCTTCATTTGGACATATTTGACTTCGTCTGGCCCCGGCACAGTGTCTTTTGCTTTTTGCAATGTATATTTTGTATCCTGCACCCTAATGATATCTTCAAAATGATTATCATTTATAGTATTATATAGATTATCTCTTATTGAATTTCTAAGCTCCCTATCATTATTATGATCAGTTTGAGCTATAAATTTCTTCAAAAATGCTTCCCCGCCCTTTCTCTTTGTTGTCATTAGCATATCTTTATCATTGTATAGAGGCCTAAACTCTTCTACCTTTTTCTTTTTCTGTCTAGCTTCTCTACATATTCTTGTAACTTGTGAGTTGCCTTTCTCACCTTCTTTATTTGCTTAACTGCTGCTCGCTTTGCTCTCCATGCCTGTTCTACTTCTTGGGTCCACACGGAGGCTGCACAAAAGCAGAGATGGTTAGTTTTGCTGCATACTTTCTGTCTGAGGTGTCCAATAAGGGTGCTCTCCCTCTCATACTTTAAAGTCTTACATGTTTTCACAGCCTTGAGCTTGCTAACTTTAGAAATCAAGACTGCGCATGGCATATGGTCACTCCTGTGTTCGCCTAGGATACCCCATTTTGAGTCCAGCAGTGCAGTGAGTAACAAACGCCAAATCACTAGCCGTAGTTCATCACTTGGTCTCGTTTCCATTCTAGTTGCTCTACCGTCGTTTCTACAGACTACGTCTGCATCCATCATAGCCTCTGCTAAAGCATTTCCTTGTCTATTTTCCCCAGTAGTTTCTCATGCTCTGTTCCCCGCATTGAAATCCCCACAAATGATAAACCTGTTACCAGGGATTTCCTCCAACTCTTTGAGCCAGTCCCAATGTTCCTTAGTAACAAGAGATTCAACAGCAGCGTAAACATTTAATAAATTTCAGGTTGTTCCCCTATTATCTGTCTGTATACCCTGGACCTCCAGTTTACTGTGATTAAATTGGCTCAGGTCAAGAACCACATACTTCACCCCATTCTTCACCAGCAGACACTGTCCATGTCTTCCCTGTCCAGCAGGATTTAAGCAACTAATGTATCCAGGACACTCATATCTATCTGTGTTTAATTCCTGCAGCATGATGATATCAAAGTCATCAATCAGTCTCTCCAGTACAGGTCCTTTCTGCTTGGCACTACAATTCCAGTAACCCACTCTAATATACTTTAATCCCAGACACTCATTCAGCCAGTAGGCACGTATGTTCACCATAGGCTTAAGTTTTTTTTTAAATCAAGGTTGTCTCCTCTAGATATGTTTTGTGCCTCTTTGGTCACGGTCTTGACTGTAGAGGGGTTTTCCTGATCAAGGGACCTAGACCTAAGTATGCCCCTTTCACCCTGTGGGTACAAGTAGTCATAGGGCTAGACCAAGCTCTCAAGGGAGAACAGCTGGTGTGCTCCATCATCATCATCCCAGTAACGTGTCATTGGGTCACCAGTTTCTGTTGACTATTTGATCAGCTCTCTCCACCTTTGGCGGTCAATTGCGATGGACTTCATGGTTGCATGCCTGAGGCCTGTCCAGTCAGTCAGGCTCTGTAACCAGGTCTTTCTTTGTCTACCTCTTCTCCTCTACTGAGCCTTGCAGTCTTATCTTTGAGAGGCTGTTAGATCTTATTACATGTCCATACCAATGCATTTTTCGACTTTTCACTGTAGTTAAAAAAGATTCATTGTTGCCAATGTGATGTATAATTTTATGGTGAATGTCCTCGTTTGTAAAGTGGTCTCTTTATGATATGCCAAGAATTTTTCTGAAACATCACATTTCTAAGGCTTGTATCTTTCTTTCAAGTTCAGCTGTTAAGGTCCATATTTCACAGCCATATGTAAATATACTAATAGCTAGTGCTCTGAGCAATTGAATCTTAGTCTTGCATGAAATGTTTTTAGATTTCCATAATGTTTGCTGTTTGGCAAGGACTGATATTGTCTGCGCAATCCTAAACAGTTTCTGGTCTTGATCCCAAGTCACTTAAAATAGATCCTAAATATTTGAAATGAGTCACTTGTTCTAATTTGTGGCCTTTAACATAAATTGGTGAAATATTGTCAGCTGGATTATTAGTCATTACTTTTTATTTTTCATTTTTGAAATTTCCATGCCATACTTGGATGAGTAGATTTACAAGCTCAACTAGTTCTTGTTCTTCTCCATCTGCAAACCTTAAGTTTGAAATATTTTGTCCTTCAAAACTAACTGTTCCATGATATTTGTCTAGGGCATCAGTCATAATTCTTTCTAAAAAGATGTTAAACAGTGTTGGAGAGAGAAGGCAGCCCTGCCTGACTCCTGCTTTTGTTCAGAAACTGCTTCCTATTTGTCCTTTCAGCATGACAGCACTGCTGGCCTTGGCATAGAGATGTTTTCTAGTATGTATGAGGGTTTTACCCATGTTGTACTTTTTCATAGTGTCCTGGAGTGCTGCATGTCATACTCTATTAAAGACCTTTTTGAAATCGATGAACACATGGTATAGATGTTTTTGGTACTGGTGGTTTTGCTCAGATAATATACGTAGATTAAGCATCTGGTCAACAGTGCTTCTTCCAGCACGGAAACCCACCTGTTCCTCTGCTATGATCTTTTTTGCATGTGGTTTTAATCTGTTTAGGAGTATCTTGAGCATGACTTTATTGGGATGACTGATGAGACTTATAGTCCTATAATTGTGATGTTGTTGTAAATTCCACTTTTTTGGGATTGTAATAATGAGTGATTTGGTCCAAAGAGATGGCCATTAACCAGTCTCCAAAATGTTGCTGCAGATTTCAGTGAGGATGTCAATAACGTACCTCCACCCCCACCCCCGCCTTAAGGATCTCAGCTGGGATATTGTTGATTCCTCCAGCTTTTCCCTTTTATTTAGTTCTGGTGGCCAATTCTACTTCATCCTGGATTATGGGGAAGCTGTCATCTTCCTGTGCTTGGCTGTTTTCAAGGATGTTGGTATTGTTAGTTATTTGTTCGTTATACAAACTCGAACAGTATTCAGACCATCTATTTAGGATGTTATTATTTTCTATGAGTAGTTTACCTTCTGTGTCTTGGATGGCGTTACTTCTTGACGTTTTCTCTTGATTGATGTTTGAAATAATGCTAAAAGCTTTTTTACTTTTGTTCAACTTGTTACAATCTTCTGTTTCTACACATCTGCTTTCTATCCAACTTTCTTTTGCCTGTTGCATGTTTTTTTTTTTTTTTTACATGAGAAATCGGACATCTACAGCCCTGGTTCTCTCTGATGCTCAATAATTATAATGTAATTTTTTGGAGGTAAAGTTAAGCTGAATTGCGAACTGACATTACGGAAAACATTCTGATACTGGAGACAACACATAATCCTCATGTGGCAAACAATCACTGATCAAAATCTAATGCGAATGTTCATCAGCTGGTGCCTAAGCAGAACCCCCCAAAAAATGACAGAATCACTAACTTGGAGCTTTGAAAGAGAACTAACAAATTCTCTTCACACAAACTTCTGTACAGTATATATGTAAAAGTTTACTAGTCACAAACTTCTGTACAGTATATGTAAAATTTTACTACTTACAAACTTCTGTACAGTATATGTAAAAGTTCATTTGTCACAAACATGTATTCAGCATATGTAAAAGTTTCTTTGTCATAAATTTCTGTATAGTAAATGTAAAAGTTTACTTGTAACAAGCTTGTATACAGTATATGTAAAAGAATACTTGTCACAACCTTGTATACAGTTTATGTAAGTTTAATTGTCACAAACATGTATACAGCATATGTAAAAGTTTACTTTTCACAAACTTCTGTACAGTATCCAAGGTCTGACAATTAAGTAATGAGACTGATTTTATACTATGGCCAAGACAAAAAATGCCATCTATGAAGCAAAGCATGGAATCTAAAGAGGCAACATTCATCTATGATCTGACAACTTTTCATCCCCACTGGATAAGCAGACAGCAAACAAGCCGCCATTTTATTGAGCCAGTCAGAGGTGCATTGTTACCTAATCAGCACGGAGCAAAAAGCTAACATTAAATTTTTTTTTTTTAAACTCTGAAAAAGCGCCATTGAAACAGTTGAACTGATGCAGCAAGTTTATGGGGATAATTGTTTATCTCACGCAAACATTTTCAGGTGGTATTCACGATTCAAAAGTGGTGTGGAAATTATTACTAATTCACCTAGACCTAGACGCCAAATTTATTTTCATAATGATGAACTTATTGCAAAAGCCAGAGAACGGATGCAAGAAGATCATTGTTTTACTGTGAAGATGATGGCAGATGAATCTGATATTAATAGAGACTATTCATAACCTTTTGGCGCAAGATTTTGGCAAGAAAAAAAGTTGTTTGCCGGTTTGTACCACATTCGTTGTCTGATGACCAAAAACATCAGCAGGTTGAGTACCCACAAGACATCACTGAAACAAGAATTTTTGGCCCAAAAACAAGTGTGTGTTCTCAGCCTTTTACCCTATTCCCCAGATTTGTCTCCCTGTGATTTTTTTATATTCCCAAAATTAAAGTTACGATTGAAAGGACCCTTCTTTAACGATATTGATGACATCCAAAGGGCCGTAACATCAACATAAGGGGCTATAACAACAGAAGAACTACAGAGGTCATTCCAATGATTTTTAGATTGTGTCACTTGCTGTATCTATGCACAAGGGGCTTATTTTGAATAAAATACAGGTTATATCTTCAACTGTTGATTATTTAAATTTTTATAGAATTAGTCTCATTACTTGATTGCCAGACCTTGTATAAAAAAGTTTACTTGTCACAAACATTCTGTACAGTATATGTAAAAGTTTACTTGTCACAAACTTCTATACAGTATATGTGTTTAGTACACTTCCCGTCCTTTTCAGGATGAAATTTTTCGTTATTTGAAGCCCTACTCTGGTTCTTGCCTAAAGGCTAAACGCGGTTTCTGGGACCTCTCCACGATGATCCTCATCCACATGGTGGCACATTGTGTCATCGGGTGTTTATCGCTTGTGTGATGTCCTGGTGGGGTAGAAAGTCAGTCGGTCAGTATATGTAACAGTATACTTGTCACAAACTTGTATACAGTAAATGTATAAGTTTATTTGACATAAACTTGTATACAGTATACTTAATTTTTTGTGTATACAGTATGTGTAAAAGTGTACTTTCCTGTTGTTGTTGCAGATGACATATCAAAAACCTTCTTGGAAGACATTTTCAGAAGTCTAGTCAAGATGTTAGTGAATGGCAAGGTGACTGCATGTGCTAGAGACTCAGCTATGGAGTTGATCACTAAAAATATCACATCTCAGACTGGAGTAGACATGACCAAATTCTTCATGGAGACCCAAGGTCAGTGGCTCAGTCATGGATAAATATGTTCATTCTTGTATGGGACAGATGGTACATCTAGAGCTACCCTGTACATGATCTCTTGTGTGCGGTAGAAGCTATGATTCTTGTGTCCAGTGATTCTGTGTACCTGCTCCATTGAGTGAAACATATATTGTTGTCTCTGTATAGTAGATGTTATACCTCTTTGGTAGATGTCATCCCTTTATGGTAGTTGTCCCTCTGTGGTAAGTATCGTTTCTCTATGGTGGATGTTGTCCCTTTGTGGTAGGGATCATCCCTCTGTATATTGATATTTGGTGTAAAGCATCAACTGTTAGTGTGTTTTTTTCTTGAGGCCCCGGACAGATGTTGTCTTGTGCCGAAAATTAAAGGGAAAATTCCGAAAGGCGTTTATTTGTTAAAGGCACTTTTGCTTGTCTCCTATTCTTGGGCTGTTTTGTGTCCTGCTCCTAGTGGGTCAAGAAAATAAACACGTTCATCTGATTTCCTAGTGTAACGTCTTTTGACCAGTTTCATGTTACAGTGTGATTTTAATGCTGCAGTTAAAATGGGTGCAGAGAGATTGGAGTGTTCTCAGTCGGGTACCCCCACGGCTCCATGGATACCGATCCTATCGTGTTGACTCCTTCATTGTGGGGAAAAAAGATATAAAGTGTTCGCTAATTTCTCTAGACTCGATGTAGAGATGTTTATCTCCCTTACTGTATTTATTTAGATAACAGGATCCGTTAACTGCTCTACTGTCGGTGTTTCTTTGTCTTTTTCACAGGTAAGTTAACTGAGCTATGTCAGATTAATATATTTATTATTATACTGCCGCACCCACCTGGGTCAGAAAGAGTTAACAGGGTCAGCACATTGGGCTCCACGGAGAAAGCAGAAGGGCTGTAAACTTCTGTCATTGTGTTTGCTGCTGGATGAAAAGTAGTGCGACTGAATGTCGGATTTTTGTTCCACTGTGGAATGTGCCTTTTTTTTTTTCTCGGCTTGTCCCATTCTCCTGTTTTATCGTTTGGAGGATGGCCAACGCCTATCAGGTGTCAGTGATGCATTCAATGAAGATACACACCCATTTGAACTCTAAACCTGTTGTTTCCATACAGTATGTGATGCTTGTTAAACTATTTATTTAAAGAATCCAACATTTTCATCACGTGATAATATAAAAGGCACAACACAATATTTTACGGCACAATATAATGGTCACAGTGATATAAAAATTATATTTCTTTCATTAACACAAACTGAATTATAAATCAAAATTGTGAGAGCTCGGAAAAAAAAACATGTCCTGTCAGTAAGGAGTCAGTGTACCTGGTCCGACGTGGTATACAAATGTGGACTACTAAGATTTGCAGTGATATAATATTTTACTGTGACTTCTCAGACTTTCTCTTGATCACAGACTCTACAACCACAGGTTATCTCACAACACTGCACAAATTGCAAGGAATAACAAAACATTTAATGCACTTATGAAAATGGCCTCCCTACTACTAGCTAATCTATAGCTATCACAATAACTGATTACACTACTCTACCCCCATGAAGCATTGCCGCACTGTAGTTGTCCAGACCACTTGCTCGGACACGGGCCAACGACCCCCTGCAACCAGCTCTTAACGTCAGTCTCCACCCCTACCATGATCATGACACTGATGTTTATTTTTTTGCTGTTGACAGCTGCACTGTCTATCTATCTCTTCCATCAACTTTTCTTTTCCTTTTTCCCAGATGATCGGCTCTAGATTGTATATACAGTTATATTTGGCCGCTCATTCTTTGTCTTTCATTATGCCTGCACATTTTCCATGCCTTGCTCTAATGCTAGCATTGGTGGCCCTATTTATTCTTGTGTTGTTCGTGACTTTTTGGAGATGTTCTTGTGCTCTCTCTGCTCATGACTTGCTGTGTGATGTATGTGACACTGTTGAACAGCTGGTCTAGTTCTTGTGCTCTCTCTACTCATGACTTGCTGTATGATGTATGTGTCACTGTTAAACAGCTGATCTAGTTTTTGTGCTCTCTCTACTCATGACTTGCTGTGTGATGTATGTGACACTGTTGAACAACTGGTCTAGTTCTTGTGCTCTCTCTACTCATGACTTGCTGTGTGATGTGTGTGTCACTGTTGAACAGCTGGTCTAGTTTTTTGTGCTCTCTCTACTCATGACTTGCTGTGTGATGTATGTGTCACTGTTGAACAACTGGTCTAGTTCTTGTGCTCTCTCTACTCATGACTTGCTGTGTGATGTGTGTGTCACTGTTGAACAGCTGGTCTAGTTTTTGTGCTCTCTCTACTCATGACTTGCTGTGTGATGTATGTGTCACTGTTGAACAACTGGTCTAGTTCTTGTGCTCTCTCTACTCATGACTTGCTATGTGATGTATGTGTCACTGTTGAACAACTGGTCTAGTTCTTGTGCTCTCTCTACTCATGACTTGCTGTATGATGTATGTGTCACTGTTAAACAGCTGATCTAGTTTTTGTGCTCTCTCTACTCATGACTTGCTGTGTGATGTATGTGTCACTGTTGAACAACTGGTCTAGTTCTTGTGCTCTCTCTACTCATGACTTGCTATGTGATGTATGTGTCACTGTTGAACAACTGGTCTAGTTCTTGTGCTCTCTCTACTCATGACTTGTTGTATGATGTATGTGACACTGTTAAACAGCTGGTCTAGTTTTTGTGCTCTCTCTACTCATAATTTCCTGTATGATGTATGTGTCACTGTTGAACAGCTGGTCTAGTTCTTGTGCTCTCTCTACTCATGACTTGCTGTATGATGTATGTGACACTGTTAAACAGCTGGTCTAGTTTTTGTGCTCTCTCTACTCATGACTTGCTATGTGATGTATGTGACACTGTTAAACAGCTGGTCTAGTTTTTGTGCTCTCTCTACTCATGACTTGCTATGTGATGTATGTGACACTGTTAAACAGCTGGTCTAGTTCTTGTGCTCTCTCTACTCATGACTTGCTGTATGATGTATGTGACACTGTTAAACAGCTGGTCTAGTTTTTGTGCTCTCTCTACTCATGACTTGCTATGTGATGTATGTGACACTGTTGAACAACTGGTCTAGTTCTTGTGCTCTCTCTACTCATGACTTGCTGTGTGATGTGTGTGTCACTGTTGAACAGCTGGTCTAGTTTTTGTGCTCTCTCTACTCATGACTTGCTGTGTGATGTATGTGTCACTGTTGAACAACTGGTCTAGTTCTTGTGCTCTCTCTACTCATGACTTGCTGTGTGATGTGTGTGTCACTGTTGAACAGCTGGTCTAGTTTTTGTGCTCTCTCTACTCATGACTTGCTGTGTGATGTATGTGTCACTGTTGAACAACTGGTCTAGTTCTTGTGCTCTCTCTACTCATGACTTGCTATGTGATGTATGTGTCACTGTTGAACAACTGGTCTAGTTCTTGTGCTCTCTCTACTCATGACTTGCTGTATGATGTATGTGTCACTGTTAAACAGCTGATCTAGTTTTTGTGCTCTCTCTACTCATGACTTGCTGTGTGATGTATGTGTGTCACTGTTGAACAACTGGTCTAGTTCTTGTGCTCTCTCTACTCATGACTTGCTATGTGATGTATGTGTCACTGTTGAACAACTGGTCTAGTTCTTGTGCTCTCTCTACTCATGACTTGTTGTATGATGTATGTGACACTGTTAAACAGCTGGTCTAGTTTTTGTGCTCTCTCTACTCATAACTTCCTGTATGATGTATGTGTCACTGTTGAACAGCTGGTCTAGTTCTTGTGCTCTCTCTACTCATGACTTGCTGTATGATGTATGTGACACTGTTAAACAGCTGGTCTAGTTTTTGTGCTCTCTCTACTCATGACTTGCTATGTGATGTATGTGACACTGTTAAACAGCTGATCTAGTTTTTGTGCTCTCTCTACTCATGACTTGCTGTGTGATGTATGTGTCACTGTTGAACAACTGGTCTAGTTCTTGTGCTCTCTCTACTCATGACTTGCTATGTGATGTATGTGTCACTGTTGAACAACTGGTCTAGTTCTTGTGCTCTCTCTACTCATGACTTGCTGTATGATGTATGTGTCACTGTTAAACAGCTGATCTAGTTTTTGTGCTCTCTCTACTCATGACTTGCTGTGTGATGTATGTGTCACTGTTGAACAACTGGTCTAGTTCTTGTGCTCTCTCTACTCATGACTTGCTATGTGATGTATGTGTCACTGTTGAACAACTGGTCTAGTTCTTGTGCTCTCTCTACTCATGACTTGTTGTATGATGTATGTGACACTGTTAAACAGCTGGTCTAGTTTTTGTGCTCTCTCTACTCATAATTTCCTGTATGATGTATGTGTCACTGTTGAACAGCTGGTCTAGTTCTTGTGCTCTCTCTACTCATGACTTGCTGTATGATGTATGTGACACTGTTAAACAGCTGGTCTAGTTTTTGTGCTCTCTCTACTCATGACTTGCTATGTGATGTATGTGACACTGTTAAACAGCTGGTCTAGTTTTTGTGCTCTCTCTACTCATGACTTGCTATGTGATGTATGTGACACTGTTAAACAGCTGGTCTAGTTCTTGTGCTCTCTCTACTCATGACTTGCTGTATGATGTATGTGACACTGTTAAACAGCTGGTCTAGTTTTTGTGCTCTCTCTACTCATGACTTGCTATGTGATGTATGTGACACTGTTGAACAACTGGTCTAGTTCTTGTGCTCTCTCTACTCATGACTTGCTGTGTGATGTGTGTGTCACTGTTGAACAGCTGGTTTAGTTCTTTTGCTCTGTCTGCTCATGACTTGCTGTGTGATGTATGTGTCACTGTTGAACAGCTGGTCTAGTTCTTGTGCTCTGTCTGCTCATGACTTGCTATGTGATGTATGTGACACTGTTAAACAGCTGATCTAGTTCTTGACCTCTCTCTACTCATGACTTGCTGTGTGATGTATGTGTCACTGTTGAACAGCTGGTCTAGTTCTTGTGCTCTCTCTACTCATGACTTGCTGT